TTCGGCGAGTTTCTGCGTTGTGCGGTTCGGGAGAAGATACACCTAGACGCAAAGTCGCTCGCATAGATACGTTTGTTTACCTACGAGTTTTAATAGTGTAGATAAATAATATTTGCGGATGGAAAGAGCCGCAGGCTGCTGACCCCTGATCTAGATGTATTGAATTTCCTATTAAAAACATACTCATCTTTTTTTTGTTCTCAATTATATAAAGATAAAAAAAATTAACACACATATATATACAGCCGAACCTCCATATTACGAATCTCTATATTGCGAATTTTTTTTATACAGCGAAGTTTTTTCTTGGAACCAAGTACATGTCACGATTTTCTTATTAAAACAACCTCCCAATAGTAAAGTACATTTTCTACGTAAAGAACTTTTCTCTTGAGATTCAATTTTTTTTCTTAAGTATTTCTGGACATTTCAAGTTATTCTCTCTTTTAACGCATTTTATGGTGGTCATAAATCTTGAACTGGTTTTATTAGGTGCCTAACTCGCCGAGAGCAATAGAATTCTGGGCGTTTCATAAAAGAAGTGCAACCTTTAACTCACATTATCCAGTTCACTGGAAACATCTTCGATAAATAAGTAACGCTATTAAAATAGTGTACGTTTAAAATTACTTGTAGGCTTTAAATTAGACAATGTCCTTAAAATTCATTAACATTAATATAATGTAATTTTTTTACTGTTGAAAATACAGAGTATTCCTCGCCATTCTTTTTTCTCGTTTTCCTTGCACACACAGTTTTTTTTTTAAATCCTTTTTTCTGGGTAAGATATATAAAATAAATAGATATCAATTTGCAAAAATATATGAATAATTAGTTTTTTTTAATATATAGCGCTTAGGAATTTGACATTTGTTTTATGGGGTTTTTAAAATTGAAAGATGCACCTCTATATAACGAATTTTCCATACAACGAACTTATTTTCGGGATTTAGCGAATTCATTTAATAGAGGCCTGACTGTATATATATTAATGTTATTAGCAAACTTAAATATATTTGTAATTTTAAAAACATCTTAACAAATTTGATAAAAATTACTCAACTCGAAATTATTTATGATTCAAAAGTACTGAAAATGTGGACATCGACAGATTTATAACACACAAGCTAACTAAAAACTACGAATTCATCTATAACAGTGGTCGCCTAACCTTTTGACCTCACGGACCAGTAAATTCATAATTTAAATCCCGCGGACCACTAATAGGATTTTTTAAGTGTTAAATGTTTATAAAAAAAAAATTGTTATCCAAGAACACATAAAATGTACTTAGTTTATAAAAGGAAACTATTAATTGTAACCAAATTATGAGAGTTTTATTAATATATAAACCATAATAAAATAAACTAAAACTGTAAAAACAATTTAAAAAAATGGGTTATCAAACTTTTACCATTATGCAATTCTAGAGCGATGGATGTTCCTGCTTACTTGAAATAAGGTGTGAATATTTGGATCCAATGTGGTTAGTGCAGTGTTTCTCAAACTGTGGGGCGCGCCCCCCTTGGGGGGCGTGATAACTCTACAAGGGGGAGCGAGCATATTGAAAAGTCGAAAACAAAAGGTTATTTAAAAAATTATTAATTTACTGAAAGTAAACAAACAAAATACTTTCTGATATAATAAAATACAGAACACACATTTACATTGATATAATACACTTATAAATGTATCTGTACTGTACAATGTATATTTTAGTATTAATTTAACAATACTAAGTTAAGAACAAGTTCGATAATTATCAGTGACCCCATGGGATTGTATTAACACTTATCTTGATAATTTGTACGGTTTATAATTAATGCCTTAACTGCCTGTTAAAAGTTACGCAATTCGCTCCCCAATGCCATCGTTTACCACGTAGACGAGAGTATTTTGATGTATTTTTGCGGGGGAGGAGAAAAGAAATAAGTAAAAATCCTCTGTGAAATAAGTAAATCCTCCGCAAACACTGTCAATGTCATTTTATTGCATTCTAAAGCCCTCGGAATAATTTAATGGGTCGCACTACACAGGAATGATCGTACTTCGGAAAGACGTATATATACGTCCAGAAAATTCTTTGGCTGAGCGAGACGTTTATATACGTCGGTGGCACATAAGAGGTTAAAGTCGTATTGTAGCTTTAGTGTCAAAGTATAGTATTATTGAATTCAAATACATTGTTATTGTATGGAGGGGGGCGCGATGAAAATGATGATTGAATAGTGGGTCGCGTATATTGAAAGTTTGAGAAGCACTGGGTTAGTGCAAGACAGATAGTTGCATTTATTTCAAGATGAGATTGGTACCGTGTTTTGATGGCTGTGACGGACGAAAAGGCCTTTTCACGTAAATCAGTTGTGGAGAACTGAAGCAGAATTTGTATCGCCTGTTCACTAAGAAAAGGGTTTATGGAAAGGCAAAACTGAGGATGAATGAAATTTCAATTTGAGAGTATCATCGGACGAGGCTTTCTTTTATGTGCCTGCTTAAATTGTTATTCTGAATTTTCGCTGCAAACGGATCTATTATCCACATGTTACCATGTCTGGAATCTTCATTCTTTGGGTGATAATGAGAAAAAGATTCTGTAAGTGGTGTTTTTAACTAGGGTTACTGCATCTTAAAATATAACTTAACGTGATGAGTAAGTATATTCCACATTTTTGCTAGGGACCATCGAAATTTCCTCACGGACCACTTTGGCGACCTCTGATCTATAACACTGCCAGGTCAGATTCATATTATCCTTCAATCATTTCTAAGATGTAGGATTTAATAGACAGTTATCAAATTCAACTGATATAATAGTTGTTAGTTAAATTAAGCATGTGTGCCACTGACCATGAGTATTTTCTTGTTTTTAATGTGAAAAAATTTATTGTATGCTTCAGATAGGAATAGAATAAAATTTGCAAAATTATAAATGTCTGCTCAATGAACTGAAGAAAAAACTTTGACACAGTCTAGTTATAATGAGCTTAATCTACATTCAAGCACTTCATGTAAGGTAGCACTATAGCTTGGACTGAAAAATGTATGGCTAAGTACTTGTTTTGTAAGAAATGTGGGTGATACGAAGCAGTGGCGTAGCTAGGTATCCAAAGGTCCTGGTGTTAGAAAAAAAATGAGGGCCCTATCTTGATTTGATTTTATAAAGTAAAAATACAAATATTTTAAATACACAAAGTTTCAATTTCTCTCTTTCTTGGCATTGTTTGCGCACTGTCTATATAAATAAATATATAGACAGTGCGAGCTAATAGTAAGAATTGAAAAAGGAAAAGTTTTCAAGAACTCTTAGTACAAAAAGCCAGTCGTTTTCCCCACCTTTCTCGTAGCTCCCCTCCCTCTTTAATCTCTTTTTTAATTCCTACTATTAGCACGCACTCTCTTATTATATTTATTTTGGTTGAATTTTCAATCATTAACAAATTACATTTTAAAGCGTTCAATTGAGCTGAAATTTTATATACATGATTATTTTGGATGACAATACAGTAATTTAATTATAATTAATAAAAATTAATGGATTAAAAGTAATTATTCAAAGAATTACAAATACAGCAACGTTGGCATCATTTTTGGCAACTTAGCGATCATTTTGGCGACATGCGTCAAACTTGAAAAGGTTTTTTTTCTCACATTTTCAAGTACTCATTTGAGCTGAAATTTTCAATACACTATTGTTTGGGGTAAAATACTATAATTTAATTATAATGAATTAAAATTAATTATCTGAAACTGATTATTTAAAGAATTACAGATACAGCCACGTTGGTTTCATTTTTAGCGACTTGGGTCAAAACTTTAAACGATATTTTTTTCTCACGTCTTAAAGCATTCAGTTGAACTGAAATTTTATATATACGATTGTTTAGGATGACAATACGATACTTTAATGATAATTAATAAAAATTAATTACCACTTAATGTAGTGATTCTGTCATACTTATACATATTTATATTAATTGTAACTATTTAATAAAAAGTAGCTGAAATAAAATTTTTCTTTGTTGATCTAAGTAGGAATTGACTTAAATTTTATATATATATATATATATTACTTGTTAAATTGAAATGTCAGAGAATATATTCAAAAGAATGCATCACGGGATTTCAAGATATTAAGACAAAGGGGGGGGGGAGAAGATACAGTTTAAAAAATTCGTAAGATTATCTTGGGACAAATTCTATCACAACATCATGAAATAAATGCTAAATATATCCAGAAGAATAAATCAAGTGCTTTATATAAATATTTTTCATATCATACTTTTCAAAAGCATCAACATTTTTAAAAAATAGAACATTCAAATACTAAAAGAGAAAAGGAAAATACCAGCACCGAGATTTTTATTCTGTGAAAAAAATAAAATACACCCTGCGTATTACGCGCACCTATACTTTTAAGCTGCAATTTTTACTTTTTAGGTATATTCACTATATAACGCGCACCCCCTTTTTTACAAATATTATTATACATACGTGAGCAGCGCTCTTATATTTTGATGTCATTTGTTCAAGGTATTATTCCAAGCTTTGGAAAGATTTGTAAACATCTAGAGCTACAACCCTTTAATTTCACACAAAGAATGTCATTTCATTTAAATTAACACTATTTCGATATATGCAGATGTCTAATTTCTTCCATGTTCATCTTTTTTTATTTTTAAAGCTCTCGTTTTTATACCCGGAGTATAATCGCACCCGTAAATTACAAACTTATTTTTTTATCTTAAATGTGCGCATTATACACCGGATTTTACGGTACGTTTTATTAAATAGTTATAATTAATATAAATATGTAAATAATATGACAGAATCACAATTTTAAGTGACAAAATCGAAAGCGATTTTCCTTGTAGTTTTCCATTTTCCTTTCTATATATGGCGTTGGGCTGTTTTTTGTTTGTTACTATTTATCCATTAATAAAATTTAATTATTCTAATAAAATAGTATAGAAAAAAAGGAATCACATTCGCAGGAATTAGGCCATCCCAGGAGGGATTCGGATCCACCCACGACCTTTGGATTACAAGTCCAAAGAGCTATCCATTGCACTACAGGGACACAATGAACGATTTTCTTTTTGAAAAATGCTGTTGGACTAGTATTTTTGTTTGTTTCTATTTATTCATTTTTTAATATAATTAATGAGTTAATATTTGAAAAAAACTATTAACATCAAGTGTCATCCATCACAAGTTTTAAAAAAAATGTATTTGAACTTGAATGTGGATGAGTAGAAAGTAAAGTATTTTATAAACTGAAAATTTGAACAAGAGAGATTATATGTATATATATTATATTATATATATACATATATTATGTATTAGTAAATAACAGTTGATGTTAATACAGTTTTTTCAAATATTAATTCATTTTTTTATTTAATTAACGAATAAATAACAAACAATAATAGTCCGACATCATATATAAAAAGGAAATCACTCGTTGCTTCCTTGTAGCGCAATGGATAGCGCGTTGGACATCTAATCCAAAGGTCGTGGGATCGAACCCCACCCGAGTTGTCCTAATTTCCGAGAATATTATTTCTTCATACTGTACTATTTTATTGGAATAGTTAAATTTCTTTCATGAATAAATAATAACAAGCAAAAATAATAGTCCAACACTATATAGAAAAGAAAATCTCTATTTTGACACTTACTATTGCGATTCTGTCATTTGTATATACATATTAATATCAATTGTAATTATTTAATAAAAAGTAACTAGAATAAAAATTTTCATTGTTGACCTATGTAGGAACTGACTTTTTTTTTAATACATTATTTGTTCTGAGCTCACCACCCCTACGCCCCACTGAATGAACCGCAACACCCTCAATATATCTTCTCTCAATTTTACAGTAGGTTTAAGTTTTTGAAATAGGAAGTCTTTTTTCCAAATTTTTCGGTAAAGTTCCCCATATTCTCACTAGCCGTGGTAAAAGCTGAATCTCCCCTTCCCGTACCTCTTTTCACTCCTATTATTGAATGAGGCAGATGTTTTCCCTCTTGCATTTCCTTTTACCTTATTCGGAGTTCAAGCTTCTGCACCACTGAGCGAACACACTGTCTACTGCAAATATGCAAGGTCAATCCTAGCAGGTGTGCACCACACGCGGGAGGCCAAAGCAAGGGGCGGCCGCATAGAGTTCTATACTTTCTGATGTATTGTGAATTATTTGAAAATGCATCAGTTGATATTATTAAATTTATGAGTATAATTATTATGTTTGTATTTTGCGTTTTACTTCAAAAGTAGTTTTAAAATAGTAAATTTTTCTAATGTAGTTAGAGATAAGTACACATATTCTGTATTTATTATTGTTATGATACAAGTATTATTGAGCTTTTTTTTTTTGGTCATCACAAGGTGAACCGCAACACCTTGAAAAAATTGAAAGTAGACCGTGCCATGTAGAAGTCTGCCCACCCCTGGTTTAAGGTATCCGACTACGACTACTAGCGACAACATTTTTATTTTTTTTAAGGGTAGATATGGGGATTTTTTTTGTGATTTTTAGTCTTAAGTACATTTTAAGAAAAATAGGCCAAAACTAAGAGAAAAAGAAATTACTAAAATAATTAAAAAAATTTCTAAAAATTATATAAACGGGGCCCATTCTGTACAAAAAGTTTATGAAAAAATTTTCAATTTTGATGTGTTTTAATATTTATTTTTGAAATGACCTTCAGGATAAGAAAAATTTTAATTTTTACAAAAACTTTATCTTTGCTATCATATAAAATTGCTTAAAAAACAGCGATTATATTCACATAAGGAAATGTAAATTTTGCAATAAGATTGATAAATCTGAAATTTAAAACACTTCTACTATTATATAAGACATACACAAAAAATTTCAGTAATTATTTTCAAAACTTATTGAGCAATCGCTGTTCCCGTTTGAGCATTTAAAAAAAAATAGGTAAATAAAACACACATTTAGAGTAAAACGCCTTTTAAAGTATGACATCTTGTTTAAAGTAATGGCATCTGCTTTTACTAAAACACTCGTAGTTTTTGTTCTAGTGAATGGAAAATAATAAACTTGACATTTTTATAAAGCTAATAAAATGGCCTATAAAATAAAATCATAAAAAAAAATTTGTCAATTTTTGGCAGAATTTGGCAATTTCGGATACTTTAAGAAAAATAGAATGTTAGTGCACAGTGTGTTGGTCCATTATCCATTAATGTCTACTCTTTACATACATCCTTCATTTGATAGCAAAATTCGTGCCAGAGCCGCCAATACCGCAACATAAAAGGTTTTTTTTGCTTATCAGGTCACTGGCGGCGCACTGTGGCAAATGTTTAACAAAGACTTCTCAAAAATGATTTTTGCGAAAATTGCTTTACGAAGATATCTAATATAGTTATTATTACCTAAGCTATAGGAGTATTTAAATTCAATATGTATTTGGGGAAATTAAAAGTTTTCAATTTAAGGTATCCGACTACGTTCGTAACCATGATTTTGCAAAAGCGCATAAATGGATAATTTTCATGGTATTTAGTGTCACTTGGATTAGAAGACATGTATAAAATTGTTTTAAGAACATTTTGATAAAAAAAATTATTTAAATACAATATTTTGGCAAAAAATTCACTTAGAATAATCTTTTTTCAAAATGTTCTCCTTTTGTTAAAAATGCTTCTATTATAATAATATTTTGCCTGTATATAGCTCAGACCTCTATACACATGCTCAATTAGAATTTTTGAAAATTCTCATTAGTTTCAGAACTACCACCAATTGGAATAATTATTGGCGTTTTTTTTCTTAAAATTGCTCCCCTCTGTTGTCGTATAATATGGATAAACCCACACACTTCTAAGTTATATTACTCAAAAATTCTAGTTGAGCCTATGTATGAGAGGTCTGAGCTATATACAGGAAAAATATTATTATAATCGAAGCATTTTTCACAAAAGGAGAACATTTTGAAAAAAGATTATTCTAAGTTAGTCTTCTGACAAAATATTGTATTTAAATAATTTTTTGTCAAAATGTCCTTCAAACAATTGTATACATATATTCTAATCTAAGTGACACTAAATATCATGAAAATTATCCATTTATGCGCTTTTGCAAAATCATGGTTCCGCGAACACATAGTCGGATACCTTAATAGTACTCTTACAATTTAGAAAATCAAAATAGAAAAGCAGTGATTTTTGTGTCTATGGTTTTAAAACTCTTAGTAACAATGCCCATTTTCCTTTTTAGTGTAAGTGTTATACCTCTATTAAAAGGTAGTTTCTTTGATTTTATTATCTACCAATTTGAGATAAAACCCTGCAGCTTCCTATAATTAAATGATTTTCATACAAAGCCTTTTTGAAAAACACTTCAGTATTCACATAGTATTATTAATGTTAGTGAAGTTTGCCGAAATTCTAAATTTTATTTTATGTTGTAGGTCAGCGTTTCTCAAACTGTGGGACGCGCTCCCCTAGGGGGAGTGATAACGAGGGGCGCGAGCATACTGAAAAGTCAAACACAAAAGACTTTTTTAAGAAATTATTTATTTACTGAAAGTAAACAAAATATATATTAACATAATCAAAAAAATAAAATACACATTTACACTACATAATACACTTATAAATGTATCAGTACTGCACAACGTATTTTACAATTTATTTAACAATACTTAGTAAAGAACAAATTTTATAATTACCAGTGACCCCATGGGCTTGCCAAATTAACAATTACCTTGATAATTTGTACGGTTTAAATTTAATTACTTTAATGCCGATTTAAAGTTACGCGATTCGCTCCCCAATGCCACTGTTTTCCATGTAGGCACGCGTATGGGATGTATGGGGGGGAGGCAATTCGCAATAAGCAAATTCTCTGAAATAAGTAAATCCTTCGCAAGCACTGCCAATATCCTTTTATTTTTTATTGCATTCCAAAGCCTTCGGGATTTTCTTAATGGATAGCAGTAACAGAAAAGATCGTACTTCGGAAAGACGTATATATACGTACGGGGCAATTAACGCTTTGACTGAGCGAGACGTTAATATACGCTGGTGACACTTAAGAGGTTAAAGTCGTATTTTAGCTTTTGCTTCAAAGTATAGTACCATTGACTTGAATACATTATTATTGTATGGAAGTGGGACGCGAAGAAAACTCTGAATATTGGGTTGAAAGCATTGAAAGTTTGAGAAGCACTGTTGAGGTACTTAATGGTACTTTAGTATTATATTTAAAAAAAAATTGCGGATTCTCTGCGATTTTTTTTAAAGCCCTAAATGTAACAGTATGCTATATTATCTAAGAGGCGAATCAAGAGATTCACAACTTAGCACTAAGAACAGAAATATAAAGCAGATATATATATTTCATGATTAGCTTTTAATAAAAAAAAAAACTTTAAAAGCTAATCATGATCTATATATATATCTGCCGCTTATATGAATACACCTAATTGAAGAGTAATTTCATATCGACTAATCCACTTAGCCCAGGCATGTCAAACATGAGGACCAACAGTACATAAGTTGCGTCCTACCGGGACTTTTTAAAGAAATGTAACCAATAGAGCGATCCATACGTTACAATCTCTAAGTGTCGCCCATCCGGTATGGTGGTTAGCGACGCTGACAGTCGTGCCGCCGGGTCTGGGTTCAAATCCCGGAGAAGACATGGATGCTTGTAAATGTATAGTGCCTTCGCGGCATGGGGGTACTTTAAATAGCCGTCGAGCCGCAAGTCTTCTCGTGAGTTTGGTGAAAGGGGAAGAGAGGTGGGAAGCCCCTGACCACCCCCAGGGTGCTCCCTCGAAATTGGGGTGAAATCGAGCTAAATCGTTCTGTCACCTGTATGGTGCTCAAAGCTACAGCTAACGACTGACTTCACTTAGCCCTTTGCCATGATGAATTTCGTGGGCCTTGATCTGGCCTTTGCCGATCAGGTGGTATTAGAAACAACAACAAACACAATCTCTAAGTGACTTTACATTCCCCGATTTTTCGCCTACATTTATTAGGAATTATCATTTGTGCCAAGGATTATCAGAAAATGAAACACTTTGATTGCAAATGAA